TTAGACTGTGACACTCTTATAGTAATTTCGCGCAACACCCCGATACGTTTCCCTGGTTGGCCCCAGGCACCAGAATTCAGCTCCATGCATCGCGATTGGCAAAACTACCGTGCGAATGACTGTCGTAAGTAGGTCGGGCCTTGGTCCCTAGGTACACCGAGTAAGTCGCCGGAAGTGTTGTACCAGCTGCATTGCCCTACAAGTCCACTTAGCAACGTGGCTTTCGAAGGTGAGGCCGCGGTCCAGGTACACTCCGAGCCACCGAATGTCGTCAGATGCTTGTACGTTGCGAGTACCTACACTTATAGGCAGAAGTTCGTGTCTCCTGGCTTTTGGGCCTAGAAAGTAGACTACTTCGGCCTTATCTTGGTCAAAGGAGACGGCGTTATTAGCAGCCCACCTAAGAACTGCATTGACCCCTTGCTGGACGGCTACAGCAGCTTCGTTTGGGGTTGAGCCGATGCCGAGGATAGCAATATCATCTGCATAGCCAAATCTCCAACTGCTGCCCCCCACGACTTCAGCCATGTATAGGATGAAAAGTATTGGGGAGAGCTGCGATCCTTGTGGGACACCCCATTCGAGGAATACCGGATCTGTCACTCCGTCCTTGTGCCTGACGCGGGCAGATCGTCCTTGGAGAAAGGATTTTATCCAGTAGATGGATGCATCAGGCCAGCCCATTCCCTTCATCCTTAGGAGTAGCCATCCGTGAAGTACAGCGTCGAAAGCCCCCTGCACGTCCAGAGTTACAAGAACCGCTTTCTTCTGTCTTTTCATTGCGTGTTCCACGTCGTGGATGACACAGGAGACGAGGTCGTTAGCAGATCTGCCAGAGAGTGCACCAAAGAGTTGCTGCGGAACTGCCTTGTAAGAGAGGGCGGTGTGAGCCATTCTCCTTGCGACCAGTCTCTCGAGACCTTGCCCAGGGAGGAGAGTAGAGCGATGGGCCTCCATCCTTTGGCTGTGCTTAGATCACGGCCGGGTCTGGGGAGAAGGGTTACTTCCACTAGCTTGAATGCTTTTGGAAAGTGATTTAGTCGCAGTGAGCACTCAAAAAGTACTCTCACTGCGTGTCCAATTAATGGCCAGGCTGTCCTAAGGAGACGGACGGAAAGTGTGTCTGATCCGGGGGCTTTATTTTGGCAGGCTGTTGTGACCCACTTGGCTTCTTCGTCCGTAACGCTTGTGAGCCATTGAAGGTTTCCGCGGCCGGGCTCGAGGTGATCGGCGTCAATATCGTTTTGGCTGGTGAGCCGCCCGAGAAGAAGGTTATGCAACAGAAGTGCTCGCTTTCCTGGATCCGATACATAACCGTTGGAAGTTTGGAGTGGTGGAGCAGCTGGTGTGGGCTGCGACTTTGCCCAACGTGCCATCTGATACATATCGACGTCTGTTGTAGCTTCGGAGAACTTACGCCACCAGTATTGGCGTTTTGCACTTTTGACTATGCATCGGAAAGCTTTCCTGCTCTCTTCGTCCCTGAAAGTTCTGTATTCACATTTGGCCTGTCGACACTCTCTTGACCACCATGGCGCTGTCCTGCCCTTTTTCACGCTCCCACGTCTACCGGTAGCCCTAATTGCATCGTTAATAGTCTGGACCAGCTTGTCAGCAAGGTTATCGACCTCGCTTGTTGAGGCAATGAGCTGTTGCCCTATTCCTTTTGCCCACCTTACCAGTACATTGGCAAAGTCTTCGAGGGCGGCGTCGGTCACCCGGAACGACTGACCGGTTTTAATGACCGCTCTTGTTTTGGTGTTTGGGCGGGAGACGTCTCCCGCAAGGGTTCGGTGGTCCGATGTTGAATCTAGCTCAAGCGAGGTATCTGCAAGAGCTCCTGCGTTTGACCACGCTAGGTCGAGCGTGTTTCCAAGATCGTGTGTCGGAACGCCGGGTCTAGAAGATTGGTCGATACCATGCTCGGACATCCATTCGGTGAGCGCCTGACCGTCTCCGTATAGTCTGGAAACCATGGGCTGCCAGTCGGGGTGTACTGCGTTGAAGTCGCCGCCAATTACTGTAGGCCCAGAAGAAACCCAAGATAGAAGCGGCCGTAGATCTACTTCTGGAGCGCAATATATAGAGACAAAAGTGACACCGTCGACCTTTACTGCGGTTAAGTCTGGTGATGCTTCGCAGATTGCTTGCTGATGGCACTTAATACCTTTTCGCGTGTAAATAAGCGAACGTGGCCTTGCAGGGTTAGAAGCGGTACGAAGAGGAGCATGCTTTACAAACCCGGGGTGTGACTTGGTGAGCCATATTCCGTCTTTGAGTTGATTCCAGGGTTCCTGGATGAGTAGGACATCGGTTCCTGAATCCCAAGCGGATTGCAGGATGATGTCCGTAGCCGGGTCTCCTCTGCCTAGATTAGCGCAGAGGAACGAGATCGTTGTTGCCGTGGTGTCTAGCTCGGTAAGGTTGTGGTCACTTACGGGCATTGAGTTACGCTCGTGGTTTCGTTGTCGGCAATAGCCTCGGTAGCTTTCTGCTTTGCTTCTAGTTCGCGGATCGAAGCATTCCTTTCTTTCAGACCCTGTTCGCGAATTACTGCCAGCTGGTTTTTCGTTCGCTGCACAGCTTTACCGCCTACCCGGGTTGGTCTTGCCATACAGTGTGGCTCAATTGCAGAGTGTGGCCCGTGGCAGTTCATGCACCTCGGGATTATTTGTTTACACTCGGAAGCTCTGTGCTCGATTGAGCCGCAACGTGAGCATCGTTCCGCTCGTGAGCAGATCTTTGTCAGGTGGTGTCCCCAAAACCGGTTACATTGCGCAATTTTGGACTTGCGCTGGAGTTCGTGTAGGCGACCACTCTCTTCGAAGAGTCTTTCACCCAGTTTTGGTTTTCCTGTTGCAAAGTGCAACACCCAGTTAGTTGATGGGCTCGCTGTGCTTGTCGCAAAAGCACGGGCTGAGGTTGGTCTGACGCCGGTTTTAAGGGTTGCTTCTTCAGTCACCATTTCTGATGTAACTGGGGTTGGACCTTCAAGGGTGTAAAGCCTAACAGGAATATTTGGTGCAAGCACCGAGATCCAATTGGAGGCAGCTTCCAATTTCATTTCCGCGCTATCTAAGAGAGCGGCACCTGAGAGGAGCGCGCTTCTTGCTCCATCCCCCTCTGCTTGTATCACAAACCCCGAGTTTACGACAGTGACTTGCTTGATTCTAGAGTTAGCCAGGCGTAGCTTGCTCGCAAGACTTATTTTTATGAATTGTGGAGACATACGTCTCCACGGATGGTCGGGTCTGACCCGCAGGAACACACGCTCATCTGGGCGGGCTGGTTTTGAAGCTGAGGCATTAGGCCTCGTAGTTTGCGTAGATACGCTGGCTGGTAGCGGTGTTACCGCGACTGGTTGTACAGGCTTTGGCTTTTTCCTGACCACCTGGGTCCAGGATCTCTCAGTAGTTGTTATGAATTTGTTATATTTAGTCTGGATGTGGTGATGCAGGGGTTATCTTCTCAATTCGGTTAGGTCTGAGGCTACGGGATTTGGATTTGTTCAGGCTGGAAGTTTGAATTTGTTCTTTAGTTCTAACAATTTTGTTACTTTTACGTTTATTGTATAATTTGCTTATTGGGAACTCGATATATTGATAATATGATAATCTGAACATATGACTTCGTAACTTTGATAATCCGAGCCTCGATTACCTTCATTCATACCTTCGCACATTTGACATTCGCACCTTCGACCTCCGCACCTTCGTTACTTTGTAGCCTCGACCTTCGATAATTTGTCTTCGTCGAAATCGACTCGACCTCTGCAGCTTAACAGCTTCGAAAATCTGCCAATAAGTAGATTCGTAACAGTAGTTTTGGAGCTTTGTGGTCCATCGCCCTCAATTGGTCTAGTAGGCATTGTTACAGCCGGCTCTTTGCCTTTTATCTGGCTGCTGCTTTGTCTCGCGAGGATTTGCACTGGACGTGAAATGCTTACGGTATTCTTTCCTCCCGGCCCAGAAGCCGGCACGGCAGGGGGTGTCGTTTTGCTGCCACTGGCAGCCTCTATTGGCCCACTTGATCGGGGCTGGGGTTTTCCACGCAGAATGTCTGCTATCATGGCCTGTAGGGCCTCTCCATTCTTTTCAACAGCTCGGCGGAGCTGATGGTCGGTTGTGCCGGCCAGTAGGTCACTGTATCCACTGATTAGACGCTGAGCCTCTGCAAAGTATGTGTTGAAAGCCCTCGCTTCATCTGCGAGGAAGTTAGTCAATGTAACGCCCATTGACTCAGTGTAGTTTTGGGGCGAGTATTGGCAGCTCGCCTAGCAGATAGGCTCTGCGTTTGTTTGTAAATTTTCGTGATGGTTGGGTGGCCCTGTGAGGACCATTTCTACGTCAGGACGCGTCGAATTTGCGGGTGGGAGGGGGGGGCAAGTGCCAGCCTCTGCGGAGGACTAGGGAGGCATGAGTGAGTGGGGTGTGTGGCAGTGAGAGGTCATGGACGGTATACGAAAGCGCTAGATTCAAGGTCTGTGTAGGTCAGGCAGCCAAAAATGTCGTTGAAAATGTGTTTTTTTCTCTGGATATGGCAAATTACATTGCGTGGACCAAGTAGTTAAATATATATGCGCATGGCATCACATGATCCAATGTTCTTCACTACAGGCTTCTATTAATAGGGATCCACAATATCATCATTTCTGTAGAGCTCCTGATCGTGGAGTACTATGTATTAGGCATTTGTGGATTTTAAAAGAATTTTAAAACCGCTCTGCGTCAATTAAATCACGACTTGATAAACATTACATGATGATGTGGCGGTTTGATCGTGGTAGACGTATGGTCGACCTTGTTGCCATAATTTCCGAGTGGTATACCGTTACGCCACTGGTCCCAAGACAACTTCATGAAGAAACAAGTACCGTGATCGCAACTAAATTTGTCCTTGAGCAGTCGCGCATGTCACGTTATTGAACGTCATGATCAAGAGTTGAAACTCGGTTGGAGACGATACTAGAAATCCAACTACCCAAACAAACAAGTGCAATAATGAAGCCCGTAGTCGGTGCCATTCAGGCATGGAGCTGGTAAGTAACCCATTCATCCATCAAAATTGGGGTACCTAACGCGAAGCAGCATCGTAATATCTATTTTCGCAATCGTCATTCTCTCTGTAATAGGAGTGCTATTCAAGTCCAACCATCACTCATTTGTGGGCTCCATTGAAGATCCTCCCAATGGTGCTGCCGTTGCTAGCACAGTTTTCTCTGCGGTAACTGTTTATGCGGTAAGTAACAGATATTGTAAATTGAATCATGTCCCGTCTCTAATACAGGAGAATCTAGCTTTTCCTCATTGGCTGTAGCTTTCAAGCATACTTACATGCTCGCGAAAATCGAAAAGGTGCCATCAGAATCTCGTGAACATAGTGCAAGGTTGTATCAACGCGATGAGATTCAGAAAATTTTGAGCACTCTCTAGCTTTCAAGTTGAGAAGATCCGCCGGAGATCCCAGTCTTGGAGAAAGAATTGTCATTCAAGCGACATCGTGTATATACATTTTCATCGAGCAAGATACACATGGACTGTAATTCAACTATGCGTCCACAATGAACTGGCGCAAAGATAGACCTAATTATAAAGATCTCTAATATCATCCTAATCCTATGACCCGTAAACTAAAAATTCATGCAAAGAAAACTTTAGTTTACATCAAGCACGTTGGGATTTTGGAAGATTGAGGTCTAGAAATTCTGGCACAAATTATGGTCCTTAGTATCTCGTACCCCATATATAGCTATATCGCTAAAATTCAAGACCTAAAGTTCTCTGGGACTCAACAAAACATACAGCTCTAAGCTTTAGCAAGGGCTTCAGTGTTAGGACTCGAGCTTTTTTGACCGAACTTTATCTTTGAAAAAAATATCACTTCATATATATATATATATATATATATATACATCTTAACGGTGTCCTCTTCACACTAAACTAAGCTATACCTGCGTCATCGTGACGAGGAATTATTTACCCAATTTTTTTCTACTTTTCAAGTCGTCAGCGTTGGTCTGATTCATTGAGTAACGAAGTTTGCAGCCTCAAGTTGGAAATCTTTGAAATATAAGGGAAGAAAATCTCGCGAAATTTTCACGAATAATTTTCTCACTGGCTACGAGATAATTGCGTTAAAAAGGTAGCAGGATATAGCGACTTAGACTAGATTTCAGAAAGAGTGTCAACCTACCAAGCTGGACATGGCATATGTGAAATTTGACGATGCATCATATCATGGATCTCTAGACGAATAAAATTTTGACGGCCTGCAGATATCTTCCATATGAAAAATCAAGCTAACCATGAAGCAGTATCTACGATTTTGAATGTAAGATATCCGGCACCTTCCAGGTAACCCATAAAGTCGTCTAGAACAAACTAGAGATTTGTAAAAATAATTTAACTTTAGCTGTATTTGAGGTAAAAAATATTCGTTGATAAAAAAACTGTTACCGTTCCCACTTAGAGTTCAGATTTTACAACTGATCTGAATTTGCATGGAATAGATTCTTAATATTAATACCTGAGGCCAGGCACTAATCTGTCTATAATACGTATGATGGTCGCAGACTTACCTCTTAAATGGTGAACTTTTCTATTACGGGTGAAATGTAGCAAAAGCTCATTTCACTCATTGTTTCCAGGCATTGCCTTCGGGATAACGGATTCAAGGGCATTTTTAAACGGCAATATGAATCTAAAAAAAACTTTGAAACGAATGTCAAAAAATGAATTTATTGAAGTGAGAGGCAATAGGAATCATGGAAAATTGTAACAGTAAGTGATCGAATAGAGGCTTGAAAGAGACTCTACAGTCGACGTAGCCTGCTTGTCCATGGCTTTCCCGCCAGCGTCAGGCGGAAATTAGTGTGAATCAACCACTCTCAGCAACTTTACGCCTCTGGTTTCTGGAGTAGAAAGATTGAACAACTAGATCCTCCTATTCTGCCAAACTGGGAGTGATAGATTCTTCTAGACCTAATTTCAGCCAAAATGCGCAATATCGAAGAAGTTGGCCTATGAAACAATGATTAGACTCCCTACCATATCAATCTTTCGCTCAAAATAAGACCAATTCCGAACAAATCCTTATCAATCCTACCGGTACTACCTTGTGTAGTCTCACTTTGATGATTAAATCGCTCGTCAACTTGGCCTCTGGCCTCCATGCCCACACTCATGATGATATTTATACTCTCCGGAGGGGGCAAAATGTGCTGCACAAATTCGACAGGCAGATTCTTGAAATAGACGTGAGAGAGATCAGGACAAAAAACAAGAATGATACCAGGAATGGAATTCAATTTTGGAAAGGAATCTTTCACATTGAAAATTATGCTCTATAAGATTTTGTGAGAGTGCAGGTAACAATATAAACACCGTTATGTTTGAATATTTCAGGAGTATAATATTCGGCTTGGTCTCCCAAGTAAAATCTACATAGCATGGATATTTATCCTACTTGAGACAAGAGACAGCTGGTTCGAATATAGCAGGATACAACAGAATTTATCACAGTGGTAGTGTGCATATATAACAAAGACTTCCAATTTGATTTGGTAGTTATGTGTGGAGGAGGGCTAATTGGTCAGTATATGCCAATTTGGGGTTGGATGGTGCAGTGGTACACCATTCGGGCCGTTCTCCCTAGTAGATACTGGGTAGCTCGAACACTCACCCCATTTGAGACAGGAGAAAGCTGGTTCGAATCCAGTAAAACCCACACACCACACTCAATCGCGGTGGTGTTGTACTTGTGGGATGATGAAAGCACACTCGAATAGCCAGAGGTTTTACACGCTTTTCACTGTGGTGGGTATGCACGAAAGAGTTTATAGGTCGTAAGGGTTAACCTCGAGTGGTATCTGCAAATGAAATCTGAGTGAGTGTTCAAAATGACAAGTTGAGTCATCCTACTTAAAGTAAATATCTTCCGAAAAAAACCTGCATGGGCCACAAGGCGCCAAATCAGGATATTGAATAATATATATACTGTCGCAAAACTATTTTGGGATGTGCATTTATTTATTTATTTATATTAACGTCGTGCCTGCGCACAACACAGTGCTTTCAAGCCCCATGCCGGTTAGCTTAGCCTACAAAGGGCTACCCGACGCACCGGCATTCCCATAACAAAAACCCGATAAAGACCCCACTGCTCCCGGTCCGCATAGTCGCCAGATCAGTGAGACTCTTCTTAAATTGATATAAATTATATAATCAAAAGCGGAACTTAAACTACATGTGGATATTCGTATTTAGATAGCGTTGATGTCTAAGTAATCAGGACTGTCCTAAGAATGTAGGTGCAAACAGAGCTTCCCCCATTAATGGTACCTTTGAAACTCTTCGAAAAAATAGAGTGGACTTAAGCCAGTCTCGGAACAAGATAGCTCCTTCTGGTGAGCTTAAAATCCAGCGAACTTTGGGGGACGGGGACGATTGGCTCCACGAAGCCGCGCCTGTAGTAGGCCATGTTGACAGGTCATGAAATACTCCGTCGATTTATCATGTCCACAGGAGCATGTTAAAGGTGCGCTGTTGTGTGCGAAACGACGGTGGTATGCTGCAAAATCACCATGGCCCGACCGCGCAGCGCGAAGAAGACCGAGGGACCGACCATCCATACTAGCGAGCTCTGGGGTGATGCGGGAGCTTGACCCGATTCTGAGCGCTCTATACCGGTCAGGGGCATTTCGCGACCAGTATTCCGACGCAGAGGCCTCGTAGCGAAGAATGACAATTCTCCTTGCTCTGGCAATGGAAGGGGCCAGGTTGGGGGCGGTTATAGTACAGGCCGCTTTGGCGAGAGCATCTGCCTTTTCGTTTCCAGGGATTCCTGAATGCGCTGGGCACCAGCGTACAGAGACCCTTCCTGGCTCAGTGTATCTGGCACGGTTCCTTGAAGGCCAGGATCTTGCGAGATCTCGAAATTTTGCGATCCGAGTCGAGCTGGATGGGGTCAGCGGTCCAAGGAGTAAGCGAGACGCTGCCTCTTGGTTGTCGAGACAGACAGTGATATTGGTGGCGTAGTATGCCATTGGGGTTCTAATTGCAGCTGCGAGGCCTTCCATGGCCCCGACGACTTCTGCATCATATACTTCTGCTGATTGACCCAGAGGAACAGAGCCTTGATCGATCACATGTTTTGCGCCGCGATAAATGCAGTACCCTGCCCCTGCTGAGCCTTCTATCAGAGCTCCGTCTGAGAAAACGAAGAGGTCCAGGGGCGGTGCTGAGGAATGCCATTGGGCGAAGACTTGGAGCCCTGCTTCACGACCAACTGCTCCAATTGCTGCGAGTATTTCGTCTCTTTTTGGTGTCCAGGGAGGTGAAGTCGTGTTCAATGATAGTTCTGGGGAAATTCTGCGCCGAATCCAAGCCATTCTCGGAGATTTCCAGCGCTGTCGCAAGGGATGTTGGGGATCTGACGAGGCAACTAGCACTGCAAGCCGGTTGTGGATACGTTCGAGCCACCCCTGAGCTGATGACCATCCAGTTTCCCGCAGAAGGGCGGCCACTGGAGTGGTTTTGTATACTGGCAGTGCTGTACGGGCTGCACTGTTTATCCTGCGTTGAATACGGGCAATATCTTCTTTGCAGGTATTTGCTGAGAACCAGGTTTCGGGGGATGTGCATTGGTCAGGAGAGAGATCGCAATATGTTGATAGTTAGTCACGTGGATTGGTACAGCTTGGCGTGTCAGCCTTAAGGGCGACACGCCAAGCTGTACCAAACAGAAGAACAAGAACCACCACATCAGAGAGAAACCCATTGCGTACGCGTACACGTGTATATAACCGACCGACATATACATATATATATATATATACCAACTTACCTCAAAGTGATATTTGCGAATGAAATCCAGATTATGAGCGTCTTTGAAGACAAAAAAAGTCTTCAAAAACGTGCAAGTAGCACTGACCATGCGTCGCAACTAGAGATCTGCAAACGCAATATAAGATAAAGCAAATAAAATTCACCAAAATATGAGTTGGCTGTTTCGCTAGTCAACGGAGGTTATAGCTCATCCGTGTCAATTAACGCTTTATCTATCGTTATCCAAGATTACTAGCACTCCCGTTATGGCTGTACGATTGAGTGGTCGCAGCTTGATCTTTACCAACCAAAACTTCTCGATTTCCCACTTGCATATTACACCGCGTCAACTCGATCGATGCCACCCAATGCGTCATGTGAACCTGCGGTTGGAGGCCTTCGAATGTTTTAGAAGTGAAGTGGATAATTATAGATGGAGTATAAGTATACTGGGACATTTAAGAGCTATTCTTTCTCAAAACACATAGATCCTCATGGGGCTGGTCTTGTTCTGATACTTAAAGCACTGAGCAATAAAAATCCTATAAAT